GAGAAGAGTGATCATTACATAATTAGGTTTGATGATTAGCTGTGTAGTGGTAGATCTGGAGAGAAGAGTGATCATTACATAATTAGGTTTGATGATTAGCTGTGTAGTGGTAGATCTGGAGAAGTGATCATTACATAATTAGGTTTGATGATTAGCTATGTACTAGGAGATCTAGAGAAGAGTGATCATTACATAATTAGGTTTGATGATTAGCTATGTACTTTTTGATTGTGTCGTTGTGGAATATTTTACACGTTACAAATAAGTACAAACAGCAACCTAACTGTTCATGATACACATACAACTTTATGTAAACCATGAAATCAATAAAATGTTTACTTAAAAAAACATGCATGTTTCTTAAAGTCCAAATAATATTAAACAATAAATGTTGTTTCTGTTTCCGATCATATACTACACCATGATTGTTTTTTAAGGATGCACAATAGGTAACAATGCCAAAGATATCAATTTCTTTTAGGTAATAATGCTAGGGAGGAATGTAAAAATTTCCTGATTTGACTAGCAGTGTCTAACTCGTGTTTCATAACCATCAGGTTGTTGATGAATTATTCTGGAAAACGTCTGATATTCTACAAACATTTCAATGTTATGTGGTAAAGAATACGTCTCAGTATTGACAGGAATGTTTGTTTGTACATGACTGAATCGTAGAGTGACGTTGTAAAGATTGACGAGAGGAAAGCGTTGTTGATGTTTCAATAACATAAAATATTTGTCACACTGCTAGTATCAATAACCCTGATGACATTATAAAGAAGAAGAAGAAGTGAAAACTCACCTGAATAAACCATGCATCCTTAATCTGAACATTAGTGTAGTAAGTTGATGATGTGGTGGGTAATAACTAACAATTTCACTATTTAAATCATTTGGTTTCTCCCTAAACATCTTAACGACCTTCATCGACTTCTGGTTGGTGGGACGAGCAACTTCTCCAAATATCCGTGCACTGAGAAAAGCCATACGTTTAGCATAGCTCGACAATGATGAATAACTTGCCATGTCCAACACCTACAGAGTATACAATATTATTAAAAAGCTTCCTTACACTTAGATATTTGTAATGTCATACTGAAAGCTTTTTCTATGGTTTACATCCTAGTAGCATGACACTTTAAGTTACTGGAAACATATTCCAGTACACACTGTAGCTCTTAGCCACACGAACATTTACACACTTTTTGGCAACATTCACAAATGGATTGTGATTGTTATTTTTCATTACAACATGATATTTTGCTGTTCATTATTTCTGAACTCAATTCATATAATATAATAGTTTCTCAAATATGATAGAGTTACTGCCTGGGTTCTTGCAATAAGTTCACTTTATTTATATGCTTCTAGAATACTTCCCCTGGTGGAATTTTTTTGGACATAAAAAAATTTCCAAAATCTATCCTACATTACCTTTTAATTCCTCATCCCAATTCACTTGTCTTGTGGACTTTCTGAAAATTAGGACAAAAACTTCGTTTCTCCAGATCTCCCACATGATAAGGTCATAATTTTGTAATTAGTTACTTACTGCATATTAATGTTAACACTTGGTATCACTGAAGTAGATTGTACTTCTATGCCACAATTAAAAAAATATAAACAAAATAATTTTCTTAAGAAGTGGAATTTTTGAATCTGACTGATGTCACGAACTGGCAAGATTTTAAAACATATTACAGTTTTTTTGTTTTGTTTATCAAATATGGTTCTTAACATAAAATAAAATACTGGCTAAGACATGACAGACAGCAGTGGTCAAGACAACTAGTTATAAGATTTCACCCAATATCAGGACTCATGAGGCAGACTAAGATATGGCAGTCACAGTAGTGATTGAAACCTATTTATACCATCAACTTCATTGAACAACAATTGTTTGAGTGTGAACTACGATAAGTTGCTGAATTGAAAGTAAGGTTTTTTAAAACTTGGAAAAGAAAGTGTTAGGTTAAGAGAAAAAAAAACTCTTTCTGTTTCAATTAAGATCTTAAAAATTTGTAACTGTAACATTTAAGAAATAAAAGTTATATTTTAACTGATGAGTCTTGATATTGGGTGAAATCATATAACTAGTTGTCTTGACCACTGCTGTCTGCCATATCTTAGTCTGCCTCATGAGTCCTGATATTGGGTGAAATCTTATAACTAGTTGTCTCGATGACTGCTGTCTGTCATGTCTTAGCCAGCCTAACGAGTCCTGATATTCGGTGAAATCATATAACTAGTTGTCTTGACCACTGCTGTCTGTCATGTCTTAGCCAGCCTAACGAGTCCTGATATTCGGTGAAATCATATAACTAGTTGTCTTGACCACTGCTGTCTGTCATGTCTTAGCCAGCCTAACGAGTCCTGATATTCGGTGAAATCATATAACTAGTTGTCTTGACCACTGCTGTCTGTCATGTCTTAGCCAGCCTA